GAAGACATCTACTCCTGGAAACTGGACCATTGATCTTGCTGGCTCTTGCCAGCTGCAGTACTATACTGGAAAAGTTCAGGCCAACCTTGGAACTATCAAGGAGACCATCAACCTTGAAGGCAAATCTGGTAAGACCAGAAAGCTTGGTGTGTTCTGTGCACTATTTACTGTGGCAGTCTGGGATTTGTAATAGCTCCACTGTAGACCAATGTATGGCTCTGTACTTTGTGAAGAGCAGAAATTGCCAGCCTGCTACCTCCCTCCCTTGTTACCACATTTGGAAGTCTCAGTTACAGACTGGGATCCCTCTGTAGCAGGGACTAAAACATGAAGGCCCTGTCCCTGCTGCAGCTTCAATGAGGTGGTTAGAAATACATCAGTGTGGGCAGACAGAGGTTTCCATGGTGTGAGTGAAGTGTGCTGGAGTATCTCCCTCCTGTCCTTACTGTATAAACATCAAAGATGCCACTGCAGGCTTTGATGGATTAGATCCCTCACAGGATTTAGATAGCTGGAAATTTCAGCCTTGTTTTGTTCTTGTTTGCCACTCTGATCTTGGTGGTGGTGATGCTGGTGAGTGTATTTTCTGAATTCTTTGCCCAAGCAAATTTCCGCCTCCTGACTGCCTGCCTGGCTGATCCCAAGAGCTGTTTGCTCCTGTGCATTGTGTATCTTTGAGTGACCTGGGTTGCATTTCTGATCCCCAGCAGTGTAACTGAAATTTGCTAAATAAGAGACTAACGAGTGATGAATAATTAACAACTCTTTGCTCATTCCAAGCATGAGTCACTCTTGCAAAAAAAAAATCTCTGCTGTTGGTGAGTGCTGAGTGTCTTAATACTGTCAAAATGCAGCAGGGTAGGACACAAAGGTGTGTCCAACATATATACACACGTACATACATTTAGGGAAAAGGACAGACATTTTTGTTTTTATTCCAAGAAGCCAGGAAGCTTTGCAGCTAAAGCAATGCTCAGACACCAGCACTGCTGACTTCAGGGCTTTTCTGAGCCACTGGAAACTTATCCAGACAATTAAAAATAAAATCTGAAATGAAAGGAAAGCAAGCAATTTTATAGCAAGCAGTGCCTCAGAGAAACCCCAGGGGACACAGGTTTAGATGTACCTGCTGGGGCAGCTGGGGATGAGGGCTGCTGAGATGCTGGATGTGAGCCTGAGCCAGTGCTCATCTGGGCAGAGAGATGGTCGGGACTCAGCTACCCCTCCCATGGGCTGCATGTGCCAGGTACCGCCCACCCAGCCAGGGCTTCCCCCAACAGAGGCTACATCCTGAAGGAAAGCAGGATGGTCTCAGGAAATACGGTTCATCCCACACCCTGAGACACCAGCCACCAGAGCTGACTTTGCCACCCAATTCCTGAGTGTGTGATGAAGCATCAAGTTGTATTTTCTTTCCTGCAGAAATGCAGATCCCTCTGAAAATAGCACCTGACGCGTATATGAAGACATTGGCCTCGGTGGATGATGAAGTGCTCATCCTTGTCACTGCCATTGCTGAGGTCAAGGAAACAAATGACAAACTCACCAAGGAGACGTCAATGAGATTTGAGTACCCCCCCATCACTGTCCAGGTGAGGCAGGCACCAGCCAGGCTCCTGGGGAACTGAGCCCTGCTCAGTGTGGCATTCACAGGAGGACATCCCAAACAGCTGCCTCCTGGGATGCTCTGTCCTCGGCATTTTATTTGGCTATTCAACCCTTACCTGAAAGTTGAAAGTAGCCATGAAATGAAAATATTATTGCCCCATCTAAAATGGGAAGGAAGGAGCTGCTGGAGGGAAGGGGATGGAAGAGGACAGTTTGTACAGAGCCCATCTCCAATCCCATTTTCTGAAGGAAAAACATGTTGAGAAATCAGAGAGAAACCAGCTGGGAAAATATAGTTCCATGGGAGGGTGGAAAGGATAGAAGGGTGGAAGGAGTTGCACCACCATGCTGGTGGTGCACAGCAAACCTGCAGCAGCTCTGGAACCTTTATTACCCCTCTGATCCCTGATCTTTGGGTTTGTTCCTCTCTTTCCTCCTCTGCCAGATGCCCGAAGTAGCCAAACTGAACAATGACTTCAGCTGTGCCTTCATCTTCAAGAACAAGCTGAACGTGGCTCTGGAAAACTGCAAGCTGCTGGTGGAGGGCTTGGGCATATTTAAGATGACAACGTTTGATCAGGGGTAAGGAGATGAGCCCATTAAATGACCCTGGCAGTACTCTGCTTTATTTCTTTTTTTTAATTTCCCTTGGAGAAGTGGTTAGGGGATTTGGAGTAAGAGGACCCTTTGCCAGCTGTGTTTGAAACTGCACCACGTTTGGCCACAGTCCACATAGGAGAAAGATGCACACAGACGTTGGCAGGCTCGGGGCATCGGGGCGTGACAGGGGCTCTCCCTGTGCTCCTGCTGTGATGCCATGTGCTGCCTGGTCAGTGTGAACACAGCTGCTTCCTTCAGAGCTGAATTGAATGTTTCAGCAGTAGCGGGAACTAACTTTGGGGAAGGTCCCCAGGATCAACAGGACCACCAGCCAGTGCCACCATGCCACACCCCACTTGCTGCACGTGGGTCATGACAAAAGGGAAGCACTGCCCACAAACACATGCACTGCCTATTTCTTTAAGTGAAATTATTCAAAAGCAGCTAACAAGAACCCTTACTCATGCTGAGATTATTTGGGTTTTTTTGTCCTTAGGGATATAATGCCTGGCAGGATCATGAAGTCTGAAGTAATATGCACTCCAACAAGACTAGGAGAGAAGAAAATAGTAGCCAAGTTGACCTCAAACCAGATCAAAGGGATCTCTGCAGAGAAGGCTATCACCATCATCGAGTAGGATCAGTGCCTCGGTGGGGTGCAAACAGTTGCCTTGCTTAAGCACGTTGCATCCCTGGGTGTCTCAGGCACTTCTTGCCTCCTTGTTTGCTGGATAGTACTTTCAAAGTAAAGAGCAAAAATACCATTAAGCTAAGGAATTAGCCTGACTTAAAGGGCACAGTTGCATTGATTGTAGTTAATTCTGATTCAATAAATGTTGTTAAAACTGACTGTGTGATTGGGTTGTGTGATATCGCCACACTGGGATAGCTCCAAACTCACCCCTTGCTAAGGATCAGAGCTTGTGATGGTGCCAGCTTCAGACAATGATGGGTGTGAGCCTGGGGCAAGGGTCAGCAGTGCTGTGGTCCTCCATGGGACCTCCCAGGGACCTCATTGCACCATGGGCTGCTGTGTAGCTCAAGGAATATTTTAAGCAAATCCCTCCTGGGTGATTCCCTCTCCCTCCCAGCTAACCATCTGGAGAATGTACTGGCACGCACCTTTTCTTGCCTTTAGAGCACAGAAAGGGCAAACCTGGCACAGTCACCCCAAACACCATTTTTCATACATTTCTTCCCATGCCACCTCTTTTGGGGGTTTTCAGGCATTTTTGGAAGAAGTACCATCTCCAACTGCATTACCAGTGCTTCCCTAGAAATATACCAACCCCTACTCTTCCCCTTCCACCCTGAATGCTGCTGGATTACAGGTAGAACCTTGATGGCAATGTACATCTGGAGTTCTTCCAGCCACCGTCACACAGAAGACAACAGCTGTGCACAGCTGGAGCCCACCACTGCACTGCACATTCCAGCAACCCCCGAGCCCACTTTTAGCAAGGGATTGCCCTGCCCCACAGCATCACCACAGCATGGCCAGCAGCAGTCTGACACTGGGGTTTCCAGTATTTCCATGAGTAAAGAGAAAATTAAGTCACACAGTAACATAGGGGGTTATTTATTTGTTTATTTAAAAGGTAAATGCTCGAGCATTAAGGCCACAGAGTGGGAAAAAGAAATGGTGACTATATCGGATTATGTACCACCCCATAAAAAGGGAGGAGGAAAAAAAAAGGAAGGGCAAAAAAGAAAGTTTTAACCCCTCTCTTGTGTTTCAGAGGTGGCTGCTGGGCCACAGAAGGGGGTCAGGTTGCCCTGACCCCTGCTGCCCCTCTGCTCACGGTGTTCTGGTGCCCCACAGCAGCACTGAGTCCCCAGGAAGCCATCTCCTGTGGTGGCACAGCAGAGAGTGGGAGCTCCTCTCTGCAGGCAGAGTGGGTGCAGGGTCCATGTGCATCATGTCCATAGTGTAGGGAGGAGCAGGTGGTCCTTGGCAGATGAAGTATTAGTTCTTTAGTAAATACAATAGCAACTGGAGGCATGAAAAGGAGTTACAAACAGCAAAAAATATTTTTAAGAGATGTAAATTCTTTACTTGCATAGAAAACCTGCTGTAGAAGACACCAGGTAAGAAGTACAAGAACACTTTCCACGTCTGACATGGCCCTGTCCATCACATATTAACACTTCACATCAGAGCAGTGATGGGATTGCCAGCAGACCATGTCCCACACTGAGCAGTGCAGAGGCAGCATCCTCCCCAGCCTCCCACCACAAGCATAATTTCCAGGACAGCCTTCCCTGGGACCTAGCAAGGTCCAGCCAGAACCCAGATGGGACTACAGCAGCATGGCTTGAAGATGAAGGCATGATTTAACAAGGGGCAAGACAAACCTATTACAGCATGGAGCAAAGGAAAGGAAAATGGAGGGTTTGGTTTCAATTTCATGAAAATCATGTTTGGTCTCAAGCGACCACATAAATCATCAAAGAAGGAGGTTTATACTAAAGCTGTGGATAAAACAGATTTTTCCAACTTTTGAAGACTTCTGTGATTTCTGACAGTTGTCACACTACACTGAGACAGAGGAGATACACCAAGGGGTACTGAGACTTTGGGAGGGGAGAAAGAAGAGGAGGACAAGGGGGACTGACAGCCAAGAAACACCAGAACTGATGTGCTGGACATAAGAAATCACCCCACCAGGTCGTGGGGGAACCAGAGCTGGGGCTGGGCTGGCTGTCCACGCTCTGCATAAGGCACAGGGACATGTCCCTATCTCTCACTCAAACTGTAATTTGAGGAGGGGAGACGGTTGTTCTGGCTCTCACCCATTTTTCCGTTTCACCTATTAAAAAAAAAACAAATCCAGAAATGCCAGTACCTGAGGAACAATACGAGAGGTGGGAAACAGAAGCAGGGGACTCCGGTTCTCATGATGAGGTGAACCAGGTTTGAGAGTGGAGAAGAAAATATGCTGCCTGCATCCATGCCTACCCAAAACCATGTTAGTGGCATCTGTGTCCTGAGAAATGCAGGACATGGGGGTCTCTCCCAAGCTGATGTTCCCATATACCTGCCTCAAGGTGATTTTCAGCCATTATCTAGTTTCTCCCTGTAGCACCATTCCCACTGCAGACACAGCACCAGAGGCAGGGATGTTAACTGGATGCAGAGGCAGAGTAGCAAGCCAAAATTAGAAAACGCAAGCTAAAAAGGGCACTCTTACTCTTCCTCCTTCAACATCCCCATTACTCCCTACAGAAAATCCCTTATAGATGTGAGTGTGGCCCTGACATCCCTTTCCTGTGGGATGCTGACAGATAGGAATGTGGGCTGGCACAGAAGTAGGAAAGCTTATTCCCTCGGTATCCCACTGCTGCACAGGGCAAAGACACTCAAGACCTGATGTCTAAATGACATGAGAGGGTACCTCGTTGCCCCTCAAATGCAGGGTGCTTCCCTTTACCCAAAAGGTTATAAATACACAGTTCCTAATGGCTTTTTCTAGATCTATTTTTCACTGACAAAGAGGACAGACATCCAGAGGGAAGAGGGGATGGGACAACTGTTCATAAATACATCCTGGATTTTAGCAAGAACAAGCTGTGTTCTTAAACAGTCAAGGCACTCCATTTGTTTCCAGTACCTTTGCCAGAAAAAGGTAGAGGACAAGTCCAGGAGAGAATCTCATCCCTCCACAGCAGCCCTGAATGTCACATCATTAATACATCCTAAGATGTTTTTTTGGGGTAAAAATTTTTTTAAAAATCCTGCATAACTTCCATTTGATATCACTCCTATAAATAATAAAATTCCATATAGGTCTTTCACAATGCCATGCTTTCATCCCAAAACCTCCTTTCTCTTACTTTTGAGAGGAAGCAGTTATCTTTGGTCCATGTTACAGGGGAAGAGGAGATAAAATCAAGCATGTTCTGTGGTAGGAAAACCAGGAACACGTATCTAATGACAATTGAACTAAGGGATGTGACAGAAGGGGAAAACCCCCAAACACTTGAAAAACAGTCTAAATTAAAATTACCCTGACATCTGGAGGATGCCAAGTGTTTGTAGTGCATCTGAATGCAGGGCCTAGCAACACCTCTGCATGACTTTGCTGCAACTACTGCCACCTGCAGTGATGCCTTCCTTGAGGGATGTTATGTTCCTTCTACAGAATTCACCAGGAGCTGGCTGCAAAATTAGAGTAATGAAACCCTGTGCAGTGGCATGTACTGTTAGAACAATGTTAAACTCCAGTAAGATTAAGAGGCACTATTCATTCTCAACTAACTCTAGCTATCAAGAAAAGAAAAAAAAGAGAGACATCTAAATTAGACAAGTCAAATGGAGAGATGGCAGTACCTCCATCAGCAGGGTGTTCCTCTCTCTCTCTCTCTGACTGCAGAAATAGCCCCGGTACCTGGTCTAGACAATTTGTCTGCTTTCTGGGCTGCAGAGGTTGGCCAGGCAGCTCCTGCTCCACACATCTTGTGTGCAAACAAACCGGGGCAAAAGTTCAATGGCAGGGCCAACATTTGCCTGTTCTTGGCTGCACTTGCCACAGGTGAATGCTCCTGGCCAGCCTGGCACCACCACAAGCCCACCAGCTCTGACAAGCACCACCAGTCTTGGGCAGTCCCATAAGCACAGAGGGTAAAAATTGACCCCTGGAGATATTTCAGAGCCCAAAGGAATTACACCCAGGGTGAGCTCATCCATCTGCTGCATCCATAACCCTGTATCCATAACCTCTGCTAAGACCTGCACACCAGCAACTTTCATAACCCATAAGCAGCATCCATATGATGAGATGGGCTAAACAGGATGCATTTTTCACAAAAACTTTCAGAGCTGGGCTAATCTTGCCATCACACATTTAGTCCTCCAAAAGGCTGTAAGAACAAAAGATTAACCAGACACCCTAGTTAACCAGACTTCCACATTTCTGGGAACTGGAACCGTTCTATCTGACAATTATAAACTGTCCTTAAAGGTCATGTAAGAAAAGCTCAATAAAGCAGCTGGAACAGGTCTGAAAAAGAGCTTATGAACCTCCTCACTTATAAAGCTCTCTCTGGAGATTTGCATTGCTTCCGCTAGTGCTGTACCCAGCATCCAGACAAATAGTCCTGAATTTTTTAATGCACCAAAACTATGTTAAAAAACAATGCCTTAAATCTCCAGCATGAGAAGTTATTAAAAAAAAAAAAAAACACCTGAAAGCTTCTCCTGGCATCGTGGAGGATGCTTTGCTTATTCATGTATCTGGATGGCAACGTCTCGAGCGAGAAACCGCTCGATTTCTTCTTGGGTCAGTATTTCAGACGCAGGAGCTGCTGCCACCACTTCAGCCGGTGCTGGCCTCTCGCAGTTCAGGTTTGAAAAAGGGTTGAACCAACCCAAAGAGAAGGCACCGCCGAATGCCAGCTTCATTCCTTCCCAGCCGCTGATCTTCTCCCAGGTTGGCTTCTGATTTTTAAGTCGCTCAATACCCTGCAAGAAGAGAAGACTTCAGGGTCGTCTCACATTTATAGCAGGTATTTGGGCATTGTAGCACACGCAGAACTGCCTATCTATAGCCAGATTGATGCTATTTGAGTTCGAGTTAACAATGAAGACAGACATCTTGCATTAGTGAGAGTTTCATCTCTGAATTTAACAACAAAACCCTAAACAATCTGAATCTTGTGGACATATTTTGGCATCAGTTGCTATGGATGCCTACAGTACAGAGACGGCTCCTGAAAAGCCAGCCTTTTGGGAAACATGGATCTCTTCTCACACGGCTTTTTGAATACCTCCAAGGAGAGACAAAATACAGTTAGAACTTAAGAGTTTCACCTTATGTGGGCATTTTTGAAATAGCTTAGATACAGGTAAAATACTGCACCTTTTTCCAGGAATCAGGAATTTACCAATGCCACACCTAGAAGCTCACTCTGTCCCAGTTAAGAGCAAATATTTAAGAACACAATTTCCATTTACCAAATTGTCAAAACCAAATCACAGTGCAAGCCAGATAGCTCACTGGGAAGTGAGAAATTCTGTACAGGTGGAAGTGGAGGCTTAAAAACAGGACTGGAACCTTAGTCAGTCAATATTCTGATTCATTCTCCCTCCAAGAACATTGCTTTTAGTAAAGCAAACATTTTGATTGTACTTAAAGAACAGATACAGCAAATCTGGGCAGCAACATTTTTTCCTTGGTAGCCTTTTCCATGTAGAAATAAAGAACTAAAATTTATTTTCTTAATATATTTTTTTTAAGGCTACCAGTGTGAAATAGGGCACAATTTTTTATGCACATCTTCTGTATCATGTAAGAGAGGAGTCAGATCTGCAGCTGGGTAGGAGACACTCACAATGACATACAAATGATCACAGAAAGTCTGTTCTTAGAGAAGCGAGAACACTGGATCCCAGTTCTGAGAAACTCAAGGAAAGGAAAAAAACGAGCAAATTCAGTTAAAACTGTATGAAAGAAGGGTATTAGAAGAGCTGGATGAACGATACACTTGTCACGTCCTAATTCTACAGATTTTTCTTAACGACACACTACATTCAAAGCTTTGCAGTGGGGGGAAACAAATACACGCAGGAGCTCAAGCAGCACAGCTGCAGTCACAGTCAGCCTTACAAATAACACCATAGCAGCAGCCCAGTTTTGCAATAACATTGAGTCAGCATGAGCAGACCCAGGAGAAAACACACCATAAACTGAAGCACTACGTGCAAAGCTTTTTTGAGCTTCATTCATGCCCCGTTTCTCTGTGCTGACTTAGGAGAAACCCAGCAGTGAATGTGAAGAAAGGAATGACACGACCCCAAATAGGAATTCTTCAGGGTTGCAATTTCAGGAAGAAATCAAGCCCTGAAGGACTCTGAATGCTAAGCACAAGCCTGCATCCCCTCGCTCTGGTCCCAAGCTTGCAAATGTACAGTTTCAAGAGCTCCAGGGAAAAATCCCTTGCAGCCTCTGGTCCCATGGGATACCACACTTGGTGCTGCTGCAGCCATGGCCCGACCTTACCTCCCTGCTGGGCAAGCTGGGAGAGGAGCAGTGCTAGTACACAGCAGAGCGTTTTAGCACTACCATGTGCTCTTCCTCCAGGATACTCCATTTCCAGCACCCAGTGGTTGTGCAACCGGGAGGCAGAGGCTTTAGCAGCTGAAAGCAGAAGACCACCTTTGCTTGTTGGCTGTTCCTTAGTGAACTGCAGAAATTTCCCATGCATTAGTAACAAACTGGCACCACGGCTGCAGCACTTACTGTGTGAGTATCTAGAGAGAAGGAAAACAAGTAGCACAGAGCAGGAGGAGAGACAGACACCAAGCATTTGAACCCTTCCCTGGCAGCACAAGCTTTAACCCTGCCCTCAATCACGTGCTTAATCTGTTTCGATCCCTGCTGCCATCTAGATTGGGAATACAGATTTGGAACACTTCTGGGCAGCAACCCCTCCTTTCCTCGCAAAAAAAACATCGCTCACCTGCTCCGCACAGCATCTGCTAACCAAGGAGATAAGCAAGGTCAGGCTGAGGCTGTGCTAATGCCAATTAGGCAGCAGTTCATCAGAGCAGGGAGGGGCATACTTTCTCTCTCTCAGCCTGACCTCACTAATCCCTTCAAAGTACATATTCAAAATAAGCACAAGTTTTATAATTGTATCTTGATCTAATTTGGCTGCAAGCCACATGGCCAGTAGGGTGTGAGGTTATGCCTTAAAAAGAATTTAGGAGGATGGAAGGAAAGCACAGCTGTTGAAGACATTTTGTTACTATTTAATGGAACTTATTTTAAATATATATATATTATATTTACATAAAATCTCTCACCATTACTTTAGAAAGTGGGAATTTTGTATATCCAATTAAACCAACACCTGTTTATCTTTCCCATAATGCATCATGGTCTTTCACTATTCTAAGTTATATAATTTTGAACCAATACTGAAAAAAAGACATAAACCAAGAAATATAAAATACTGGACACTCCCACTTCAGTAAGAGGTACATCATTGCAAACATGGGGACAGTAAGATAAGGTTGACCTGTGGCCACTATGAGGCTGGAGGATATACCCTGTTTCTCCCACTGTTGCCCTCAGTATCTGCTCCTGTCCAGTGCCAGAGGATGGTGGGCTGCGTCGCCTGACCCAGAAACGATCTGCGGGGCAGCTCTTGCACGTTAGAAGCAATGCATTAATGTCTTTTAATGCACTTTCAAAATATGAAAGAGCAAAATGAAAAGACAAGCATTGTGACAATTTGATGGTTAAGACACTGAAAGCATTGTCATCGGAAATCACGATTAAGGCAGACTTTTCTTACAGCACTTCCTTGCACTTATTTCTGCTTGGAGTACCACTTAGCTTTCCAAGACAGAAGCACCCCGATTTGAGTTTGATTTCAATTTCTCTTGGCCAAGCTAAAACAGAACAAGCACCTGGAAACGGGCTGTCCTGCCCAAGAAAATACTTTACAGAAGTAAACCAATTTGTCTTTCTCATATTAATACTGACTCCCATTTAGTATCATTCAAATTGCACCATCAAGTTGCACAGCTCAAGTAAAACTGAGGACCCTCAGTTACTGCCACACACACACCTGACAGGTACCAATGGCATTTCTGTGATGATGCCTCATTTAAAAAAAAAACCAGTTTGACTGAAAATAGCAATACTGCATAATGCTGTTAAACAATTTGCATTTGTTTGAAACAAGAAAAACTTGGTAGTTACACATTTTTCCACAATGGTCAAAATACCAGAACAGCATAACATAATCTTCCTCCAAGATGCATAACCAACAAGGTTAATTAAAATAAAGCCAAACAGGAATGTAGAATTTACAATCGAAGAAATTTTTAAAGCAGTGAACTGAACTAAGAGATGCATTCATTAGTTAATTGCCTAAGTCACTAAAGTCTCTCTCCTCAATATATCTGATTTTGCATCAGATATATTGAGGGCCGGATTCTCTACCAGTTCAAGTTACCACACACACGTGCCTCACTGGCTGAACTGACCCTGGCCAAAGATCCAGCCCTTAATTATTAAGCTGGGAGGATTCTCTGAGAAACACCATTGCATACTAAAATCAGAGTTACAACCTCTCCCAAGTGGAGACATAAAACCCCTGATTAACAGGTCGGCGTATTACCAATTAACTCACTTTTAAACTTAAAAGCCGATCACTTAGTTAATTGACTTTTGTATGCTTCTGCCTGCTTACAAATGGAAGTGAAAGTTCAGAAAACCATTACAGATTTTTCCCAACATCTGAAGCAAAGAAAGAAAGAACAGCAAACAAGTTTTTGCAAAAGTTTTATTGCATTTGTTTTCCATATGGAAGCATTGACAGATTGAAAAGATGCAGCATTCACACTACTTCCAAAATGAGACATCCATTAAATTTCTCCTTCCCCAATCTCCCTCCCTTTCCCCGTGGCTTTGAAGCAGTCTAAACAGGTTAGTTTCCAAAAAAATACCATTTTATTTTAAACCAAGGAAAGAAAAGATTCCTTGGAAGTCATAGACACAGCTGATTTGTATACTTCCTTTGTCTGCAATTCATCTGATGAGCCCATGGGAGTCACAATCCAAAAATATAAAAAAATTCCTGCCAGAACACAAGATGTCAGTCATAGTTATGAATGGTTTAGCTTTACCCGTTTTTGGAATGCCTTCTGTCCCTCCCACTTCCATTACCACACAGTTCATAACAGCATGCATGCTCCTTATCATAATATTTCCCAATTTAAAACACACATATATGTGTGTGCATTTACACACACACACACATGTATGTACAAATATCAGAAAAGACTTACAAAGCTCTAAACCAGGGCAATGCTAAGAATATAGAATTAATCACCCTGGTATACTTACACATCCCATCAATATGAGTCTTTATAGTAATCTGGGCATCATGTCATTTTTTCACGTTAACACTGTTTAGCAGGCATTGCTCTATCAAGTCATTTACCAAGACAAACACACACAAAGAACATGATTCTGCTATTCTAAACACTTGAAAATTAGCTTTCTTCCTTTCCTGCAAGTGTAAGGCATTTAATAATCCAAAGAGTCTTCTAAATCTGCCACAGTTATCCTAAAAGGGCAACAATTTCCTGCACACTAGGGAGGGAACAGACAAAATAATGCCAGAAAGATGGAATCAGTTCTGTGGCTGGAAGGAAAAAAGAGTGTGGGGTGGGAATTGGTGTTGGCAACCTTCAAGTACTTTAACTGTATGCAATCACCAGGTCAACTGGCTTTCTTGCTGTGTTGCCTTCTTGTCTTGCACCTTTTGGTACACGAAGTATCTGCTTCCCTGTTTAAGTTCACTTATGAAAGAGCAACATGCTCCTTCAGGAAGTCCAAAGGTGTCTGTGTAGGGCTGTTGGCACTCACATGTCATCCACAGAGCTCATCACAGTCAGGAGACAGCATGAGAATCTACTCAGAAGAGGTGGGTCATAACAGAGAAGAGAGGATCCCCTTCACATTAGTTATGCCATACAGAAAGCAGAGAGAAACAAATGCCAGTAAAGTTAATGTGATAAAAAAAAAAAAAGAAAAAAAAGAAAAAGAAAAAGAAAAAGAAAAGCAGCAGCAGTTTCAGCCAGAGATATAGAATTATCTAAAATGGTGGAATACAGGGCTTTTTTTTCTCTGCAATTATCAGCCATTTAATAGACATAAAAAAGTTCATTTTGCTTTTTGTTTTAAACATTCATGGAAAATTTGTAACAGTAGTGCTGTAATATGTTTCTATTTTAGTGGAAATGCTGGTCAAGAATTCCTCAGACCACATACTGGTACGGGTCTGCTTTTCCTTGGTCTGGTGTTGCGAATGGGCTAAGCCATGCTATAGAGAACGGATGGCCAAATACTGCTTTCATGTTCATCCATTTTGTTTTTTTAGCCCATCTTCTCTCTTCCTTTTTCAACTGTTCTATTCCCTGAAAACAGAAATATCACATTTTCAGTCAAATACTCAGGTTTTGTAGTTCTGGATTCGGGGAGAAGTCTACTCTCAGTTACCCCTTATCCAAAGGATGGAGTAAGAAAATACAAATGTACCTGTATTGCCTTTCCTTTTCTTCTCACTGCTTTATATTAAAAAATATTAAGGCTATAGAGTGTTCCTTGGAAATAAAATTACTTTCAATTTGTTCAGTCCTAGATACTTCAGAAACATTTTATGACCTGACATCCAATCGTCTGTGACGTCAAATAAAAAAAAAACCCACCACTTAAAACCAAACAAAAAGTATGTGCTTTAATGGCTGAACGCATCATGTGCTAACCAGATGGAAAAGATTTAGAAGAATCCATTATAAGCTTGCAGACAAAAAAAACAAAACAAAACAAAACAAAAAACCCCACAAACCCAAAGATAATCTCTATAATGCTCCCAGATTCACCAAGCAAGTTCAGGAAGTGCCCATGGCTCAGTGTAGCTGAGTCTACCTCTTGCCTCTTTGTATGTCATTAGAATCACTGCTAAAACATGCATGGGCTGACAGCAGGGAGAAAGGGTTAAATAAGACACTGATTCGAAGAAATCATTGGCATCGTTTAGTAAAGGTTAGAGGCAGAACAAAAATAAGCCATCAAGCAATCAGCTGAAACATTCACTAGTAAAACATTTAAAAAAATTTAAAAATTCCACATTGTGTCTAAAACCCACAGAGTGAATTTGGTCTTTCAGGAAAGCCATATATGCCTGGCTGCCACAGAAGCAAAATGAACAAGTGCAGTCATTGTAGAGCATTACTCTTCCACGGGTAGCAGCAGGCAGATGACTCTGTTCTTTAACTCTGCACCTTTTGCAAGGTAAGGTTTCTCCTGACCTACATGTCTCTCCCATGCTATGAATTAACGCACTGCAACACATCTTTGTGTCTCAAATTACCGGTGCTAGGAGCTCTGAAGAACACAACATGGGTCAACTGCAGGAGTTGTGCTGATCCCTGGTAAATGCCACCTCCAGAGACAAGAGCAAAATACCAGGGCTCTGGGTCCCTTCAGGCAGAAAGGAACCATCTTGGTGGGACAGCATTCTCAATATAAGGAATGATGTTTCCCAGTGATTGGAAGAGAAAGGTGAAAAAAGAGTAAGACACAGCCCTGCTGTCTAAAATGTGAAGTAAAACACTGCAAGAGAGCACAACGAGAAGAATTTCACCTGGAAGAATTCCTCTGCTCAAAACAGATTGCTTGCCAGACACAGCTAGCTCAATGCTAGCAAATCAACAATGAGACATTCCACAGAGCTAAATCCTTGTGGGTACATATTCAAAAAAGAAAACAAAAATGAAAACACACAACCCAACAGGGGGAGACCATATTTCACTTTTTTTTAATTTTAGATTGTTGCATTGCTCCTTTAACATCTATAAGTCCCCAGAATCAGAGGGAAAGGGAAAATCTGGGGAACTTATTTGGTTGCCCTGCTGTAGGAAGCAGCTTCTAAAAATTCTTGACAGGTTTCAAAGACAGAGAAATTCAAATGATAATTTCACAGGCAGCATTGCTAATTTACACACTTATTGATAAACTCAAGCTCAGCAGGATCTGTAGAACACTGTACTTCTTCCTGGGGCTCCCCATCAGAAAGAACAATGAAGTCTTCCTCTGAACACAGAAGAGCCAGAGGTGGAACATCAGCCTCTTGCAGAAGCCAAGCATAAAAAAAAAGCACTGCAAAAAAAAAACGCGGGAGCAATGGGCTCTTACAGCATATGATGCCAATCACAGCTCTCCAATGGCAGCAAATATACCTATTCTAGCTTCCACTGGCCATGGGCAATCAAGGGAAAAGAAACCTAAAGGAAGCAGGGGAGGAAAGAAGAGCTGTCACTCTTTTAAGACTATCACTTCTCTCCAACCACTCCAGTCAATTCAATTATATCTGAGCGTGCTTGGTGAAGACTAGAAGTATTCACAAGTGTGGGAACACACCCAGGAGTCACCAGCTCCATCTTTACAGAAGTGGGGAAATGCAGGCATATAGGATGGGCTGCAACACTGCTATGTAACCTCTACTATGCCACCCTTGAACTGGGGATGATTTGATGGCTTTCCAGCAGACTGTAACCAGCAGGCTTACATGAGCCTACTCCACTCCCTTTTCTTTTTCCATCTGGCAAGAGTTTTTGAACTATTTAAGAAGTAGCCAAAACTAGAAAATCTTCCAGGCTAAAAGAAGTCTCCGTGTGTTTGTGTATATGTATCCCTCCCCCACCTACTTACTCATCTTGGCTTTCCAGTATATTAACCTGTAAATAGTGACAATCGGGGCACAGCTGAGTTTCAGACAATACCAATGTAAAAGCAAAGAGAAAGAGGTTCTTGAATCCATAGGGAAAAACACTCTCTACAGAGTAATCCCAGTTACCAATACCTACTTTATCGCAGGTACTATCAACACAGCACCCCAGCCAATACATAGGCATACACTACCTCCCACAGTAACCTTCAGGGACCACAATCCAGCACTGTGATAGCTCAGTTTATTACACTGGATCTTTCCTCAAGGGGTACATGAACCTTCTGTGCAATGAGATAAAAACCTGTAACCCTTCACTGTTTCTACAAATGGTGAGAGACAAGGTAAAGGAGAGAGGGTGTGAGACACTCACCGTTTCATCGGTGCAGATGGAGTGTACTTGGGTCCCAAACATAACTGAGGTGAAGATAAGAAATAGGAGAGCCTCGAAACACAAGAGGATGAGAAGAATCACCGTAGTCGGTGGAGAGAAGGAACTGCATTCTGTGAAGACAAAACAACAGAGTTGGAAAGGCAGACATCAAGTAATGCAGCAGCTGCAAAACACCTGCTAAGCCACAAGTTTTCCATACTCAAACTGACAAATAAATTATACGATCACCATTCCCAGAAAAGTACACAGGGAAGCTTTCACATTCTTGAGGATATTCAACCATAAAATGATCACTCCCACAATTAAAAAAAAAACAACCAACAAACAAACAAACAAGCAAATAAACCAAAAAAACCCCACACAAACCCTGCAACACTTCAACTTGCTTTTCCATTTCGGTTTTTCCCCAGCATACTGACTAGGATTCTATTCTACTCCATTTCACCTGTAGCTTCTCTCTTAAACCTTAGTCTTAACAGATTTTCCACAGTGATAAAGTCAATTAGAAATCTCAAGCTGGCAGTCAGGACATGAGGATATGTAGCAACAACCTAAAACCAGAGTATACTTCTTTCATAACTGCTCTAAGCCATGACCTAAAGAAGGTCAGATTAAGCCAAATTCTTATTTTTCCTCATAATCTATACTGCAAACTCAAGCAAGAGCTAAAAAAAACCCCAAACCAAGAAGGTAAATACAAAAGAGAAGCAGAAGAAAGGAAGAGGAAGAAAAATGTTATAGGGCCAAGCTCATAGTGTTGAGTGTTGTAAATGTCAGAACATCTCCAGATTTTTTCAAAATCCAAGACTCTCACCAAAAGCCTGTATTTTTCTCATGAGCTGTTAAGCTTTAACAAATACACCATAATCAGGGGCTAACACAATCTGCACAAATGGAAGGAGCTGCAACAACCTATCCATCTCTCATAACAGCTCTGTTCTACCACCTAAACCTGGGGTAGGTGGGAAAGTGCTTTCCCCACACAAACAGGCTCTGAGAAAGGGGGTAAAGGAAACTACCTTTTGATGTATCCTTCCCTTTATGGCCCTGGCCACTGTAGTCAAATGCAGTTCTCAGTGACAGTTGGCAGCTGTTTTACAAAGTTTTGAACCACAGAACAACCTTGTCAAACTCAATTCATATGTATATCCTCTGCAATAGTATAAACTAAAACCAGTCATTATATTGAATAACACAACTGAAATTCCAAGAAAAAAAACCCTAATCCTTTTCCAAAAAAATTCAGAAGCAGCACATATAATCTGCACACACATTCTTTGACAGCTTGCAGTTTGACTCAGCATTACCTCGAGGATTTCCTATATCCATTTATGGTTTTAAAAACATATATAGACTGTCTTCATAAAAATTTACTCACTGGCTGATTCAGAGTGAGGGTTGGAGTTTTTATTTTGGCTTTTTTGAGCTGCTTGGGTTCTGGTTTCGGTTTGCCCTTTTTTTTTTTTGGAAAGGAATTGTTTGTTCTTGTGAGGGTGGATTTTTGGATCTGAGTTAGCATGTTTTTCTGGCAGTCTTGCAAGAATGATTCACGTTACCCTTTTAAAAAAAGCATATGCATTCCTCTTGTCTTGTGTTGGCATTCAGGAAATTAGTGCTGTGTTCATTTCAACAGTAAGTTATCGCACACATACTTGTTAGGTGTCTTTACATCTCAGCTTTTTCCTAGGCACTATCAGGTGTAAGTTGAAACAGGACTTTTCAGGACAGAGATCCCAGCAGATCAAAAAGAATTATAAAGTTCCAGGATTGATCATTAAAAAAAAATTAAAAAGAGATAGCACAGCAGAGCCCTGATAGCATTCTTCTGAAACAAGCAAACTACATTATAAGTTCTTACTCAAAAACTAATATGATATCTTAATGAGGTATTTTGTTAGTACTCACTTGTCCAGTCTTCTTCAAAGCAATACAAGAAGTGAAATCCCACCATGATTAAAGCATGCAGGGAAATCAGTGCTATATACATCTGAAAAATAAAGGATGTAATATAGGTACCAGGTGAGTTTAAAGACCAAAATGCTACATCTTCCCAATGCTTCAAATAAAGCAAAGTGCTAATGTTTCAAAACAAAACCAAACCACAAACAACTCCAAAAACAATCAAACTCTTCCATCTCCCCTAAACAAGCACCATGAAGCTGGCAAATACCAAGACTACACAGACTCATTCTGGCCTTACTAACAGCTCTGAGCAAATATGAGGGAGACTGCTGAGTTCAAAGCCAGCTGGATACCAAACTCAGCCTCCCCTGTCCCAGAGTGGCCTTCCACTCAGTCTAGTGTCCTTATCTCCCCTATGTACAACACAACTTTCAGAGAACAGTAACACTGACATCTAGGTATCACACTGTCAAAGCTTACATCCTTGCTCTTGAGAGCCCTGTAGTCTCCCAGAGAAACAACAGTTAATTTGTTTTAAGCAGAAAACGCACTTTATCTGTTTTCCAGCTTGAGCTCAGAAAAATGATGTATTTGTTTAATAAGCGCTTTCCCTGAGGCAGATGCTTGCATGGAAAATTTCTCTCTGGCTTTAATACTCGGTAGTAAATACTTTTTGTTTTAAACTAGGTCTTAGCTTTGTAACAGAAAGTGTATGTAACAAAAAGTTACAACAGAAACTATATGCAGTACTACACATACATTACAATTTACCAAGACAGGGCTAAAAATATGACTCTCCTGAACGTACGAACTCTGACAAAGGTCAGCAGATACTAGAAGTGAGAGAGATTTTGTTAAAAGAAATCCCTGTGGAAGCAGTAAAAGGCAATAGGGGAGCATTTTTTTTTCCAGTTCAGTATGTTGCCGTTCTTTCACTTCCTCAGGTCTCAAAAAGCATACCCAAGAACAAAACCAGCAACCCTTAGTTTGTTTCTCTCAACTCCATTAAGTGTTTAATATAGTCTGCTTGAAAGTAGATGTCAAGTTTTAATAGAAACTGAAATCCTTTTGATAGGACTAAAACACCTAGCTCGCTCAAGGTGAAAAAACAACCTTGCTCAAAGGAAAGAAACGGGATTAATTTTGTTCTGTAATCCACATCCTAGCAAACCACAGCACAGAACACTAAGCCTTTCCATTTAACTGAAAATCTCCCCCTTGTTACTTGGTAATATGAGAACAGTCTTTCTCAAACCTGCAGATGTCTCAAAAGATTTATTAATAAAACAGAGCATCACTGAAAGTCAGCCTTGTAATGTTCACACTACTCCCACGGGATATTCACAGTTTGCTCTGATGAAACACATTTCAACCCTTCCAGAAATATGCAGTATTCAAGTGTGCACTGCTGTTTTCTTACTCATGCTACAGATATAGTACAAAAAGTCAAACACCTCCTTGGTTTTCAAGTACAAAAATAAACCCCTTGCAATTAAAAGGTGGATAATTCTTGCCAAAGGGGATGCAGACTTCCCACTCCTCGCTTAAGATGTAGCAACAGCTCTTATTACATGATCCCACACAGGTACTCATACAACCATAAAGCTTAGGAGCCCTATATAGGGCCTGGGACCCTACCAGCCACAGTAAAAGGATGGCCCATCCATCAAAAAGCTCAATGCCACAATAAACTACTCCCATTACAATATAGATGCTCAACAACTGCCAAAAGAAACCTCAAAAAAACCTTGAAAATACTTCCCATGATGTTTTTTCCCATTGCTGTGGGTGGATGGGTCTGTGTGGGTGAGTGGGTGGGTGTGTTCCCTAACTAGTGAAACAGAAGTCTGCAGCAGCTCCCCGTAAAGTTCTTCCAAAACAGGAAGGAAGAGAAAGCCAGCCTTGGGAGCTGCCTCACAGACTACACGCTGCATTTCAGCGCTTCCCACTGGACAACCTCAAGCATCACTTGCAAAATACTTACTGTAAACAGTACAAAGTACTTCTGGTTATTCTCTCCTACACAGTTATTGACCCATGGGCAGTGATGGTCCATTTTCCGAATACACCTCTTGCAAACACTGAAAGAATAGAGGTCTTTATTAACAGCACTTTTCATTCCAGGAACATAAGATTTCACTGGGGTTTGGGGGACAAAGAAACTACAGAAAAGAATCAGAAGTGAAATCTGAATCTTAAAAAATTTACCTGTCACCATATTTATGTTTGTGGTTTTTTATCTTGACTAAGTCTGTTAAAAATGAACCACAGAATACCAAATCACCACTGCAAAAATTAATGCCACATTATTAAAACCAAAGAGAAATCAGAAAGATACAAAAAGCAGTAATGAATAAAGATATTTTTCAGAGTTGCTAATTACAGACTACGGTTTATTTACCAACATTTGCTGGCAGCAGGAACTTTCAGAAAAGGAAGTTAAATAAGGCACTAGAAAAGATTCTTGACATCGAGGTTAGCCACATACTAATATAAAATAGCTGTGGCAGTCAGTCAGGAAGACAGTACCACAATACACATTCAAGGTGAAATTAGATGTTAAAGCACTTCACAAAACCAGGCTAATGAAATCAAAATTCAAATTCTTGCCAGCGTGCACATTGTGGCCAGAAGTCAAATAATTAAAACATTATTACTTTGTCTGGACATCATTCTCTTGCTTAGTCAGTAACAGCTTCAATTCACATAATAAAGGAAGTCTTTTTCTTTGCTGCTTTCTCATACGATAGGAGACGAAAGGCAGTCTCCTGATACCACATTGCACAAACAAGCACAGAAATCAAATATGAAAAAACACAAAACCCCAAAGCAAACAAACAATGGACCCAGAAAGGAAACAGCCATTCCAGAACAATTCTGGCAGCCCTGAAACAGAAAGGATTGGGCGCTCTGCTAATTTTATTTTTCTTCTTATAACAAAAAGTATTTTGACCTTAATATAACAATAAACTTCAACACCCAAACGCTTAAGGGAAACTCAAACAAAAACATGTTCTTATCTGCACGTATGAATAAATAATAGAAAACCTCTCTGTCAGAACAGCCTTTCACTCACTCTACGTGGTGGGAGGGAGTAATCCCCAAGGATACTTGCATGCCTGAAAAACAAATGAGTTGCTATAACCCCGATCCTAAATGAAAGGTCAGGCAGGCAGGCTCTGGCCTCTCAGCATGGGGTCAGATCAGGAGATGCTTCTCCTTAGGTGTGCTCAAGTACCCCATTACCTTCCAGCCCCAGGTGCAGTGGAAAACCGGAAAAGTCTCATTTTGCCAGAACAAGCAGCTTGAAATTATTTTTGAGCTACATGGGGACTGCAATCAGCTGGCACAGTAAAAACAATTTATCTGCCAGATAATGTGCTTTGTATTATAATGATCAACCACTGCTTTAAAAAAATTAAAAAAAAGGAGGGGGGAAGGTGGGGCAGGTGGTGTAAAGGAGGAGGATGCCTCCTTGTCTGTAGATGTGCACACACTTCCCTTGGACTCTGAAACAGGGGAGTACCCAAGCAATCCCTTCAACTGCTCCTAGGTCCTAGTTCCCCAGAGAGACAACCTGAAGCAGCCAAGCCACAGATGTGGAAGAGGTAGCTAAGGCTGAGAGGAGAGGTTTTATTCCCTGTACATATACCAAAAGCAGTTGGATGACAAGCAGAACAGGAAACTAGCTGGTGGAAAAAGAAACATAGAAACCATGACTGAAAATTACAGGCAAGCAGGGATTACCCAATCTCAGACACTCTCCCCCTATTTGACCACCCAGCTTCCAAATGCTGCCAGGACTAGCTTACTGGGCTTAGGGGACTCACTAAATAGAACATGAATCAAAAAACATCCTGGTCCCTCTGGCATACCACTAGCAATATCTCCTTCTGATGCATATGCACAACCTTGATGTGTTAAAGTCTAATAAATCTTCCTAGTCCATAGAAAACCTTTTGACTGAAGATTCTCAACAGCATCAGTGCTCAGTAGATAAGCTTCCCAAATCTTAATGTCTAAAAACTTCTCTTAAAGCATGGAAAAAAGGATCACAGTGATGAGGTTTTGTGTTTAGCCAGAGTTGTCTTCATTTACCTATGCTGTGAGTCATCATCAAGACAGCATTTTAGATGTGAAGTTTCATTCATAATTGAAGAGCTGTCAGAGGGGATTTTACAGTAGCATTAATAAGTGATAAGCATGATCACATTGCTCCTGATGAATAACCAACTCCTGATTTTGATTAGAATAAAAAAACAACAAAAAAGAAAAACATTTGCAAACTAAAGCTCTGAAAGTAAGTATGAAAAATGCAAACAGCAGAACAAGTTTGTTCAGCTCAGTATCATGTATTCCCCTCCCCACAAGACCACTGCACAAATCAGCAGTAATCCTGGTACAAGCTCTCTTGGTACGTTTTGGGTTTTGAGGAGGTAAGGAAGTGACACCAGTGCAAACTCATTAACTACTTACTGGAAAGCAGGTTCGCTTGCTTTAAAAGCAGAAGAGAATTTTAGGAAGTAGTTATTTTTTTGCTCACTGCCTTTAGTACTAAAAAGCTCACTACCAGTTACTCTCTTCCGGGAAGTTTATCCTACCAGAAAAAGAAAGGACATGACAGATCAGTAGGCATACTGATCTATCACACAGCACAAAACAAAGTCACAGTACTCAATAAAAATGTGGAAGTCTGAGCTCTTAAAAAATATATACAGTTATCTGTACTTTAGTTTTAACTTAAATATCACTTCTAAATAGAATACACAGTTAGACAAATGGGTTTGTGAATAAAAATAAAAATGGAAAAGACACTGACCCTCTGAGAGACATTACATTTTTCAGATTTCTATGCATTCTGGTACATAATGTCTCTTTTTAAGTCACGTTTACATGAAAATTTATGGAATGCCAATTACAAGGCTGGAGCCAAGGTAGCACTCATTTTAAGTGTTTCTCACTTTAAGTGGCCCCAATGTCCTATAAATAAAAATTTGTTAGGAAAGGCCTGAGATTTTTTTCAGAGAAACTTAAATGTGTCTGGCACTATTGGCAACAGAATTCAGATACCAGTCTCTCAATTTACCCACTCCAGTCTCAGACTCCAATAACAATTTAGATCAAGGCACACTGGTGGATAATTCTTGAGGTCTTAATAATACAGCTGTCTTCAGAAAAGACTTTACCTGCAGTGATGTGCTCTGTCAGGTTTGATGCTACAACACTTTGGGCACTTGTAAACCACCTGGCCTGGCTTTAGCTGCAAACTCTCAATGAACTCTTTTGTGGCATTACCTTTGGGTACAGCACCCTGCAGGAAAAAAAATAAACCAGAAGATTAACCTGTGGACATTACAACTGCTAAGAACAACAGGATGACTTAAAACTATGGAAGGGGAGGAAAAAGAAAGAAATAAGAACTTCCCTAAGATCAACAGAGTTGCAAGAAGATTCAGAAAAGAAATGAAAATGTGGTACTAAAATATGGAATCACATACTTAAATATCATTCTGGTGGGGTTTTTCGGGTTTTCTAAACATCAATAAATCCTCACTTAAGCAATTATTCTTTTGTAATCCTCTCATAAGCTTAAAATATTAAAGAATCCTCACCCCTCTTTTCACATCAACAAATTTATCATGCCAGTGTTTTGTATCACAAACTGGAAACAGCAGATGTTTTATTCCAATACAAGCAGCTACTTCCTGAAGTATCATTTTATACACTAAGAGTTGCTGGTAAACACCTCGTGTATTTATATTTATGCTTCCGCTGTGTATTTGTTATTTAAATTAGGGCCTAACATTCAAACAGTGAACACTAAAAATCTTCCCACCTGAATAAGACTAGGTAAAACATTCTTAGCTGTCTTTAAATAGGTAACATATTGCTGCTGCAGGAGCCCAAGTTCATGAGTTTCCAGTCTTTTTTGCTCAAAAAACTATATCAAAGAAACTCCCTCCCCTCAAAAAAAAGTCATGAAACATACTGTATGAAATCACTGCTGGTACATTGGTACAATTAACTTCTGTGAATTTAAGGCTTTTTTATTAAAATAAAAACAGAGAAGCAATATTTTGACAGATTTCTGACAGAACGGTCTCTTTTTAACATATCTATACAACGTCCTAACAGCAATAAACAGGAAAGATACACACCAGTGAGAGAACTGCATATTGAACCAGTATTATAAGGCTTTCTAGAGTAATAGTTTTTTCCACAAAAACTCCCAACAGGACTGACCAATTAAAAAAATTACGAAAACCAACTTCCCCAAAATGCTACAACTCATGTTCTCTCTCTTCAACACTCAGCAAAGCTCAAGACCTTAGGAATGTTTTAGCAAGAAGCAGTTCCTGAAATGCGAGACACATGCTATCAATTCTGAAAAACTCAGGTGTTCATTTATTTATAGTAAGAATTTTGTTTGTTTGCCTCAGCAGTGATTTCTGTTTCATTCTGATCCCAGACGTGCCCCTGGCTCCCCATGTCCTGGCAGCTTCCTTAATCCCTGACTCACACTGTCTGCCAGATGTTGCTGCATCCCTTCTCTGTATCTTCCCTTCTGCATTTTATTTAGCTGAATTCCTCATTAAAAAAATGAAACAAAATCCCACTGGCTCTTGCCCTCCACACACATAAATCCCACCTCACACTAGGAATTAACATATCTTTTCCAAATGACTCTCAATAGAGATTGTATCTGCTTCTCCAATGTAGCCTGTTTCAAAATACAGCTTTTGTTTCAAAAGAGTTTCTAGTAACTCTGCAAAATAATTCCAGCGACTTGAAGGTCCCTAGGCATAAAAGCCACACAACATACAATAATTAACAACAACCACCACCCTTAGGACACAAACTATCTAACAAACTGCTGCAGCCCAGTCCAATGACCAGAAGTTTCAGAGCATAAACTATTGCTTACAGTTCTGCCCAGCAGCAGTGTGCAATTCAACCGTCTTTACTATAAATTGTGAGATTACCCCAAATCAAGCCATTTCTGCACTGTTGTGGCTTCTGGAAGAACTGGAATCTAAGAAGCAAAGATTGTTCTGAACTCTTAATGGCACCTTAACAAGGTTTGAAGTAGGAAAAGACATTTGGAAGGAAGAGAATATCAGAGGTACACCACCGCTCCCAACAGCAACAAGAACACTTGTGAGGAAGGGGACAAGAGAAATCTAAGCGTGTCTTTCCTTCCACTGACGACTGGAGATGGAGTTTTGAATTGAATCTACTGTCCAGGGATTAAGCAGCAAATAAACTATCACAGGCCACTCAGCATCAGCCTTATGTTGCTAAACCGTATCTTCTCACTAGCTGAAAGATGACAAACGAGCACATCAGATCTCTCTGAGCAATGTCCTACGGATCCACACAGGGAAGTCTTACAACTCTGATGCTTCCCAACTTGCCTAACAGCTCTTAGCACACTCACACAATATTTATTTCAGCATTGTCCAATACACTCAACAAAATCAGGAGAATGTGAGATGGTAACATGGCTTTTCAAAACAACACACGTTCTGCTCCATTCTGCTGAAGCAATACTTGCCAAGGCAGACAACTAAAACCAGCTTTTCCAGCTTTACTGTTTGTCAAGACATGACAAGCCACAAACACGAGATCTGCCACTGGGGAGAAAACAGCGTCAGAGAAACACTCTCCTTCCCAGTGAAAAAGAGGAGCTGCTCACACACTGGGAATCTAAAGCTGGGTCCTTGACTTTGCTTCTGACTTGAGTGGGATGAAAAATTAGCATACCACATCAGCAGCCTCACTCAGCAGGCTGACACACAGAAGATTATTTAAATCTGCCACTCACTCGGCAAGTGAGTTACCCAACATCTAGCAGACAAGAAAAACACCGCCTGTTTCTTTCCGAGACACACAGAGAGAGGTATACTTACTGGATCTGTCAGCATAGCACGAAAATGTGAAGCCAAAGCGAGGAAAGCCAAGGTGTTGAACAGTGTGCCATTGATGACACTATAAACATAATCTCTTGATGGAACTAGCATGACAAGAAGGACTACAAAGTCGGCATAGAACACCAGCATCCAGGTAACGACAGCACATGCAATACCACAGCCATCTCGAATAAACCACATTGTTCCCAGGGAAGCGCGGCTAGGAGGTGGAACACACTTTTCTGGCTGGAGGTATTCTGGTGTCCTTTCAATATCTCTGAAGCGGTGGACTGGAGTAATCATCATAGGCTATTATGTCCATACTTGCATCTGAAAAAGAGAATCAGAAACAGTGTTCACCGCTCTGCAAGACATGCGGCCCTCTGTTCATGGAAAGGCACAGCGATCACATGGAAAATTCAAAATTGCAGAAAGACAGTTGAAAAAGCAAAAAAGGTAAATAAATCAAATGTGAAATAATGGATTTGGAAACCACACTCTTTCACTTATCGGAACACTTCTTACTCAGAAGACTCTCTAAGTGCTTTTAAGAGGTGCTTAATTATACATTAGGTCCACCTGTGTGCCACCTCCCCCTGCGGAAAGGCAACAAGCCTTGCTTTTAATGAAGAAAAAGTCATCAGCTAGGAGCCAAGAGGAGCTGCCCCAACAGGAACTGAAGCAAGAGCTGGGCACTGCCATGTGAGGAAAAGAGGAAAGACCTAGCACAGCTGGCAGGGTCCCTCCTTGCTGCCTCAGATCTGGGGAAGGGTCTCTCCTACAGACACTGGGTAACTTAGCAAGTAGAAAAAGTATCCTTTCTCCTTAGCCATTGACTCACAGCTTTGGTGTAAAACTGCAAAACCCAGCCACTCTAAAATTAGATTTGCAGGAATTGATCAAGAAGCAACCCAGGCAAAGATCTCAACAGGAACTTCTAGTCTTGGCTGAAGGATGGGCTTCCCCAGCAACAGCTGTCTCCTACTCTCACCTTTTCCTCCAGCCTTACAATCCTTGAAAGTCTTCTGCTTTGCCATGGCTCTCACACCACTTTTGCTCCATCCCTCAAAGGCATTTGTTTTCCCTCCCCTTTAGCACTTCTAGTCAACTCCATTCCACTGTAGTAAGAGCACTAACACTGACATTGCCCTGTCCTCTCCTCTCTGCAGGCACCTTGTCTATCCAGAGGGTAAGGTCCACCTTGGAGCCAGAAACTGTAATATTCCAGGTATATGCGGCACTTACTGTAGTTCCAGTGTAACTCCCACTAAACACAGGCATTTGAGAAAACAGAAAAGGTGCTCATAAGTCTCTGGCAAGGGATCAATCCATTTGCAGTGTGAATGTACACCACTCAATAATTGAGCACACCTGGAATGCTAAGCTTTGAAAGAGGCTCTTTATACACCCAGCAGCTTCTTCCAAAGACACTTCTTCACAGAGTATTTGCACAGTGCTCTAAGCACTCAAAAACACTACAACCTCTAAAGACCCACCTTCTACAAAAATGGCTACAATAATTTTACTACCAAATACTCTGAATTGCATATACCTGAACGGAAGGGATCAGCCTCCCGCTATTTCAACATATCAGGCTTTTCAAAAAAAGAGCGTGCATTATGCAATTTTATTTCAGAGAAACGAAGACAATGTTCACCATTAATTATGCTTTCTGCCAAAAATGTTCATACTGAAGCTGCTTTTGTACTTGTTTAAAAAGTTACACTGTTGCCTATATAAAGGGGAGAAATTTTACAGAAAACATAGTCAGCAAATTGCAAAACTACCCAGGACCTTAAACTTCTCTCCAAATGTTATCGCTGAGCTCTGTCAAGCACAAGGAGAAAGCTCTATTCTGCATAATGCAAACCAAAAAGGAAATGTTATTGCCCCTACCCAGACAGGGAAGAAGAAGATAGTTTGCTTTTTAGTTATTATTTCAAGAAGACCAAATTCATAAGAGGAAAATTAGTCTTTTAAGGCCAAAGATGAAGGTTATTAATGAGCAGGATGATTAATTGCATCCAAGCGCAGAAGTGATGAACTTTGTGTGCCTTAGTGCGAGTGACATCGGGGAGAGGTGACTGGAACTGCTACTGCTACTGCCACAGCAAGAGTCAAAAGCCAGGAGCACAAAGTTTCTAGGTGAAGAGAAGGAGATGAACTAGACCATTTATAATATTTGTTTGCTAACATAACTGTAAATAAATAAACCAGGAGAATTAGGTATTTCTTATCTTTCTGCTTTGAGCATGTAGTATGCTGCCAAGCAAGTTTAAGACGGTTTATGAATCTGAAGAAAGTCACATGGATTAATGTTAAAGCATATCAGTCTTGTATTTATACATACATCAAACAGAACAGAAAAATCAAGATAAAAACGTCCTTGTGAGAATGTCATTTACTTTGGCGAGAAAAAAAAACCACAACAAAAAGCCCTCTCCTCATTCATAAAATTCACATAACACATTGTAATTACTTGTGTATTTTAACCACAGCTATAATTTAGCCTCATGACTCCCAATACTTAGGAACACAAGCTATATAATTTTCATAAACAGTGATTACCCAAATGATCTGGTGGTCTAAGTTCAGATAAATCTATACCTACTGGTAAATCCGTACCTTTTCTCCAGTTTTTCACAATTTCTGTGAGGACAATTATGTACTTATGCATTCACACAGACTTAACCAGCATTTCTAAGACTCGGTCCTTCCCCTCCCTCAAGGAAACAGGTTAACCTTCACTGCATTATTTAATAATCTTATTAAAACTGTTATGCTGGTTTGCGAGCTCAAAACAGGGCTGACATAATTAAAGACTCATGCCTGACAACAATGTTTAGTTTACAGTAACATCATATTGCATTAAAAAATGAGAAAGAGAACAGTAATTTAGGTATTTCGATTTTCAAACAGAAGTCTTAGCCTTGACACATCAGGAGCAGGGATAGTCCTGAACAGGACTGGGATAGTCCTGAACACAGACTTTCAGGGTTTTTTCCCTAGACTCTGAGTGTCTTTTTTCCCCCTGAGGTTTTGTTTCCCAAAGCAAAGGAATGAAAGACACAGGAAAAGCAAACTCCTATTTAACAGAGGAATTAGTTTGACAAGTCACCCCAAAGTCAGTATTAGCAGAGACTGACTGAAAGCTAAACAAATGCACAGTGATTAAAACTGTGGGTTTAGTCCTGGACAGCACACTTTACCAGTGAAATAAAAATTAATCTCTCTTGCAAGTGCAAGAACTGGTTTCACTCCAATAAAAGTTCTACAGTTCTCTCTCAGAAATATTGAGCTTATTGAGCTAAACTGGGGGGAAAACATAAGAAAAACTTATAGCTGTGTAACCTATAGCTGGAAGGAACCTCAAGGCACCTCAGTCTGAAAGTCTGGACACTCATTTCTGCAGTGCAGAGTTATGAGACAAAGCACAGACCTCCAATTCTGGCTGGAGGACAAATTTGTTATTTAATGTACTTGACTATTTAATGCTTGGTTTAGAGGCATCATTAGACAACAAAATGAAAAATCAGTAATTGGTACATAAAAACCGTACCTTATTTAAGAAATATGTGTGTTTTAGCGTTCATTATCTCGAGAGTCAATCTATAGGAGCTTAGAGTCTCAGCTTCTATCTTACATCACCCGATTAGAGGGTTTTTTAATACCTTGTTCTTACATACACAAACATCTGCTTTTGTTTATGCTGTCCAACTAAATATTTTCATATAAATAATACAACAACAACAATACTGTAGGGGGGAGGAAGTAGCAACTTGCCCTAACTGGTTTGCCCTTCAACCATGCTGCATATGAATTTAATTTATCACACAGATAGAATATGTCAGTCCCTCCTGGTCTGGAGCAAACAATATGTAAACAATGTAGGCAAAGGGCTTAAGGACTTAATCTTGGTGTCAGGCTACAACGGGCCACTAGGTAAGTGTGAATACAATGACAACACGCACATCAATTCAGCTTAATGACATGACAGAGCAAAGACTTGTTCTTTTTATCTGGAAGGCATCTGGCATTACAGGAACAACTAAAAAACATGTAATATACAAATTAGAAATGTAAACAAAACAAATAAAAATCCACTTCCTGCTACAATGAACACTTAAAATATGCTATTACACCCTATATAAATTAAGTAACTGTCTTTTGATCTGCTATAAGCCATGTCCAAAAAAGCTTGTTTTTCATGGCCTGTGACCACCAAAGAACGTGCAAAAAATGAATAAACAAATGATGTGAGCCTTAAGAAGTACCTGAAAGCTACCTGAGGTTCTGATGGTGTAAAACCTACAAAAAGCTTAAAACCAACATTATCATCAACCTGCTGATTTTCATGTAATTACTCATGCTAGTGAAGTCAAAAGCACATGGGTATGACTTGCAAAACTACAGTATTACTAGTACATTGCAACCATTTCCTTTATTAGAAGTCCATTAACACTGAACTTCAGGAAGAGGTAACATTTTCATTTTGTCATATAAACTACGTGAATTTCAAGTTTAGCCAATTACACAAAAACAATTCTGGGAGAAAAAAAAAAAAAAAGAAAAGAGAGACCGGGGCAGATCACTGACGTTTTTTTAAGTTACTCGGTTTGGTTTTTTATACACTTTAACGAGCATACTCCAAATAGCTTTTACGACACACAGAGTATCTTAAGAGCTGACAACACTAAAGTTAACTTTTAATCATCATCAAAAGGAAGCAAACATACATAACTAGTCATACTATATTCATGACAGCTAAAGTAGGCAGTTTAGATCTGCAGGACAGGATGTCCCTTTAAATAAAACCAACAAACTCCACCTGATAGACAGAAACTGCAAGAGTTCATTTTTAAGTTTATTTCATTTTTCTGTACATAAAACTGCATTGATTAAAACACTGGGTATTTAATCTTCCTTTGCAACAGACATGCAAGGAAGTGTGCTTTCTAACAGGATATTTACCTATGCTTCTCCCTCCTGTCACACCTCCATACAGCCGAAATCTAACAAGCTTATCAGAACTTGCCAAAGCACGTTCTAGCAGGGATAATAATAAAGGAATATCAGTATTTATATATTTTGTTTCCTAATGGCTCCTGCAAGGCCTATCTGATCAGCAGGAACGGAATGAAACAGCCCAGCTATGCTGAGAATTTTTGGCAGTCTCCTGCAGATTCATCCAGATATCCATCAGCATGGCAGTTTCCAACCTCTGGTTTACAAAACTCTGAAGGGTCAATGGGACATTTCTAACAGGTCTATGAAAGGCAGCTAAAAAAAGCAAGCCTATTATTAGCAGGCTTAAATTTGCTATAGAGAGC